CTTCTGAGTTCCAGTGCATTTCTGCGTGCGGGGGTCATTATGTTACCGCTATGTGGTGACTAGTTCTGTTTTTTTATTCACTTGTTTCAATCAAAAACACTTCAGTGAAAAAACAATTAATTTCAACCAACCAATCAAAAAAGAAAATTCAACAACCAAAAAAAATTCAACCAAACAAAATAGACAGTGGAGTTTTCCCGGTTTGCTCCAACATGTTTCAAGCTGTGGAAGGGGAGGAGGCTAACCTCCATTGCAGGGCTCCGTTGTGTGTAAAATATGAAAATAAATAAATTAAATTATCCACCTCAGATTTTGATTAATTTTTCAAAGAGCTACCGCTGACAGAAATTTGAGCCTAATTGCACGGCTGGTTTAATAGTTGGATTTTGGTTTCCTATGATTAAATTCCCCTCTCTCATCGTGCAACAAACTAAACTAAAAACACATGAAAGACTGACTGTGCTGGCACCCTCTCCAAAAATCCTACCTATAAGCCTGTTCCCACCCCATATCTTCATATATCATATCCTCGGGTTAAAACATTAAAATGAGACAAAAGAAAATTGGAGAAAAGTTGCTTAAATCTTCCCTCTTCCTTCCGAATGTCATCAGTCTTAAATATCTAAATATTGCAGGTTAATTTATTCTTACAACTTCCACACTTCATTAGAGAACACCACTGTGTACTTTTACTCAGGGCATGTACACAGAATACTCAACTTTACATGAAAACCTTTGACCTGTGTGCAGGAAAGAGCTCATGAATGTGTGGTACTGGGTGGTACTAGGTGGTACTGGAGGGTGATGGGTCTCTTTAGGTGTAGAAAAATTTTCAMTCAAAATATTTTTTGCTGCTTAAATCTCTGACCCTTAAATACTCTGTGTTARGAATTGAGCTTGTATAGTTTGAACCTCAGATGCAGGACAGTGATGTTGGAAAAAAAATTAAAGTAAAAAGAAAGCGCTGGCGTGGCAGCAAAACCATTAAGCAAGATTCTAAGACTTGGCATGAGATAAACAGAAACAGTAAACAAAGCTCTGACAAACTGAGGACACATAACAGAATATAAAAGGAGAACTAATAAGCAGAAACAAGAAACACCTGGGAGAGAAACATGAGGAAGAGGTGAGAGTGGGCGGGGCAAGAACAAAGACAGGCAGGAGGAGGTAAACAGAGAAAGATGAGACAGAAAACCAGAATAGAACCAAAATAACACAAGAACCCAGACAACCCATGGCAGTGTGCCTCTCTTTGTGAAGTCTGATGACAAAGAAGAGGATGAGGAGGAGAAGGAGGAAGTTCTCCTCAAGCAGCTCCTGAAACTGTCAACCTGACTGAGAACATTTGTATAAAGTAAACTTTGTATACAGAACAATATCAAATTACCTTTTCTTGGGAATTTTGTGCCATTTTTTGAAAGGACAACCAAACATTTTGGCAAACAGACAGATTTTGTTAATAGGTTYCTGTCCGCTGGACAACCGGAAAAAAAAAAATCCTTGTCTATACCTGATTATGGTACTGTTTTACTGTCATATGTCATATTACTGCCTACTGATTTATGTTATGGTACTGTATTTTATGTTGCACCATGGGCCAAGGAGGAACGTGATCTCATCTCACTATGTATGCTGTACATAGGTGAAATGACAATAAAAACACTTGAAACTTGTATCTCTTGAATCTTGGAAGTTGCTGACAGAAATCTACTCTCATATGTTATGCATGAGATGCTCACATTAGCCATCTTGTTTCTCCTCTATTGCTAGCTACTCCAGACATTTTTGTAACAAGTATAGATTTATGTTATAATCTTATTTAATATATTTTATACAAAAGAGACAGTGGTGACATGTCAAGAATGTGACAGTAGCGGTTTTCAAAAATATGAACAGGTTTAAGAGAAAATAAACTTACAGGAGCTTCAGTAATCTTAAAACATGCAGAAAAGCTGAATATTTGAAAATAGGGTCCTCACGAATGTTAGTTGGCCTTGTAGTTGCCTCATTTTATTGTTTTGTTCTAAATGTCTGATGGTGTTGACAATGAATATATGGGACACATTTTGAGCAAGCACAAAATAAATGTGAATATCGTTCAAAACTCACTGCAAATTTTAATACATATTATTTTAAACACTTTGATGTGGTAAAGATATTATTCAATTAAATTGTTATTTTTTGCTTTTTTAATCATGCTGAAATGATTAACTCCTGTTTGAGTGATGTTGGAGGCATCAGGCCAGCAGTCATTAATTGCTGTGTCTCTTTCCTGTCCCTCAACCAGCCGGTCGAGGCAGATGGCTGCCTGTCCTGACCCTGGTTCTGCTGGAGGTTTCTTCCTGATTAGCAGGGAGTTTTCCTCTCCACTGTTTGCTCAGGATGGGAGACTGTGATAAAGTGATTCAACACAATCTGCTGGCTTCTTCTTTAGATTGTTCTTTTTTTCATGTACAGTGCCCTGAGACAACGGAAGTTACACTGTAGGTTCTGTGAATTCCTGGATGACTGCCAGTGGCAGTACACAAAGTGGATGGGTCCCCTCGCGCTCTGRGCAGGTCGAGATTTAATGTAAACAAAGTCGCGTGCGTGACATGTAGCTCACCTGAGTGTGAGTCTATAAATAGGATGCAGGTAATTACGTTRGGTCTCCTAGGATCTTCTCGCTGGAAGAAGTTCTGAGTGATCAGTGTGACTGGCAGTCTTCCAGGAATTCACAGAACCTTAGTTACAATGTAACATCCGTTCTGTTGCATTCCTTCCTGACTGCCAGTGGTGGTAAACAAAGTGGATGGCTTATGCCAGCAATGTCACGAGGAACGCAGTACTCACCCACCTTAGGAGGTAGAGGAAGCCAGAGGCAGGATCGCTGCGGCAAGTTTGGACTCATGGCCCACATTAAAGCGGTAGAAATGTGCAAACGTGCACGGTGTAGCCCAGGACTCTGTCACACAGAGGTCTCCCAGTGACATACCCSTTATCACCGCCCAGGATGTAGACACACTCCTGGTAGAGTGGCATACAATCCCAGAGGGGGCAGTAGCCCCCACAGATTTATAAGCTAGCGCAATGGCACCAACAACCCAATGCGACAGCCTGTGTTTTGTTCTTCCCACCATGGCACACAAACAACTGGTCTGATCGCCGAATAGCCCTTGTAGCCACGATGCACAGCTGCAATGCCCGAAATGGGCACAGCATGTTTGCCAACCTCTGTTCCTCAGAGTGGAACGGGGGAGGGCAGTATGCCCCCAGCTTGAAGGCTGTGTTTACATAGCCCGGAGGCAGAACTTTGGGAAGAAAGGCGATGTTCGGTCATAATTTTACCCCCGACCTGTCAGCCTTCCAGCGCAGGCAGGTAGGGGTGATGGCAAGAGCATGGAGCTCACTGACTTGTTTATCTGCTGGCAGTTTTCATAGACACCAGATTCAGTGGGGCTGCACACATTGGCTCGAAAGGCGGTCCACTAAGGGCCTTTAACACCAGTGGAAGGTCCCATGTTGCCGCAGGCTTCTGTAAAGGTGGACACAGCCTCCTTGCACCACAGAGAAACTGTGTCACCCAATATTGTGCCCCTACTCGTCTGCCATCAATATCCCCATGATTAGCTGAAATGGCAGCTAAGTGCACCTTCAGGGTTGATGCAGCCCGTCCAGCATTTACAGACCCTGTAGATACAGTATCTCAGGATGTCCTGCAGGGAAKAAGAGACTTGATCCACCCCCTTGTGCCTGCACCATTCTGAAAAACGCCYCCAACAATGAGTGTAATGCTACATTCACATCGAACACGTTTTGAGCAGCAAAAAAGCGCACAATGCCTCCAGCTGGACACGCTATATTCAGACCAGGACACAGACCAGGACACAGACCAGACGTGCGTCTTAAGAGGGAGGAGTGTCTTGGTTTTTTCCCGGTCTGTCCTTGGCGGGTGAAATAAAGATAAAATAAATGACTGATTTATTTACTAAAGAGCAAGCGAATGTTGTGCACAGCAGATAACTAATTCACCAGATGATTTAGAGGCGATTCGTTCGGTTAGTTTCGCCACTCCATAAGCTGCCAGCTGACGGACTTGTTTTTTTTTGTCCCGAGCAGCTGATCCACATCGGTACTGATATATCCTGCCAGAAAATCCAACTGCAGATGGTCGATTTTAGGTAAAGATCTCCTGTCCGTCTGTTTCGTGTTAGTGGGCAACATTCAGGAAACTGTCACATGGAAAAATGAGTCTCTCTGGTTGTCAAGACGCGTCGAGCGGTGAAAAGTTCAGATTTTTGAACTCGGGCATCAGCTGCTTCAGCAGCACCGAATGAACGGAAAATGCTCTGCCGCCCCTTCCACGTTCCTTGTGCGCCACGCAAAACGGACGTGATGCGACGAACGAACCCTAGAGACGCATCCACCATGGACTTTGCATGTAAACTGGCTGCTCCTGCAGCTCAAAACACGTTCTGTGTGAATCCACCATAAGTCCTCATTATAGAAGGCGCTCTGGCATTCTGAATTGTTTGCTGAATTGAAGGCTCCAGACCTGCTAGAGCAGGGGTGTCAAACTCCTGTCCTCGAGGGCCGCTATCCTGCATGTTTTAGAGGTTTTCTTGCTCCAWCACACCAGATTTTGATCGCTGGGTAATTAACAGGCTTCTGCCCAATTTGAAGAGTTAATTCAATCACTGAATCAGGTGTGTTGGAGCTGGAAAACCTCTAAAACATGCAGGATAGCGGCCCTCGAGGACTGGAGTTTGACACCCCTGTGCTAGAGGCTGCCAGCCCCCTCAGCGACCACACAGTGAGGAGAAGGTGGCCTGGAGACGGATGCCAGACCTTCCCTTCCATCTGGGATAAGAGGTCCCCTCTGACCGGAAGCCGCCACAGCTACCCATCTAGCAGACTGAGGAGCAATGGAAACCAGACTCTCATGGGCCACTCGGGAGCCACCAGGAGAACTCTCTGAGTCTACCGTCTTACCCYGTGGAGAGTGGGCAGAAGCAGTGGAAATGGGGGAAAGGCATACAGCAAACCYGTGGGCCACATGTTGGCGAGGGCATCCATCCCCAGCAGGGAGCTGACCTCTGCCAGGGAAACCCACAAGGGGCAGTGTGTATTGCTCCTTGAGGCAAAGAGATCCATTTGGGTCCTGCCAAACCAATCCCAGATCCTCTGAACCACCTGAGGATGCAATCTCCATTCCCCTGGAGGAAGCCTCTGGCGGGACAGATAGTTTGCGACAGAGTTCCTCATCCTCGACAGATGCATCACCCTGACGGAGGCAAAGCGAAGGTATGCCTAGGTCCATAGCCTCTGGGCCTCCCTCAGGGATTGCTGTGACCTGGTCCCACCCTGATGGTTGACATGGAACACTGTTGAGGTGCTCTCTGTTCGAATAAGCATATGTTTGCCCTSAAGAAAGGTCGAGAAGTGCTTCAGCGCTGAATAAATTGTCCTTAACTCCAGGACATTGAAGTGAAGATGTCTCTGTTGAGGGTTCCATCGCTCTTGAACAGACCTGCACTGCCACACCACCCCRCACCCCTGGGGTGATGCGTATGTTGTCACCACCTCGCGTCTCGCCGGGACTGCGCCAATGGGGAACCCGTGCTGTAGCCATGTGCTGTCTCTCCAACAACGGAAAAGAGCTGCGCAGCTGGGTGTAACCCTCACCTTGACCCACCGGTGCAACCAGGGGTCCTTGTGGAGGCCATTGAACCACCTCTGCAAGGGCTGGAGATGAAGCAGCACCAGAGGTATCAGAGATGAGGCTGCAGTCAYCATCTCCAACAGTCTCAGCCACTGTTGGACCGGGGGTGCTGCTCCCACATGAAAAGACTGGAGCAGAGACCAAATCCTGTCTATTATTTCTGGGCTTGGTTGAGCCAGCATGGCCACCGYATCRAGGGCTATGCCAATAAAGACTGCCRGCTGAGCCGGGATCAGAGAACTCTTCTGGCAGATCACTGTCATTCCCAGGGCCTCGACATAGGCCAGAATTTTGGATGTTGCCCCATCTGCCTCATGCAACGACAGGGCGCAGAAGAGCCAGTCGAATTGGACGCCCTCACMGAGATCATGTCCTCCTCCAGAWCCTCCCGCGACTCCCAGGATGATGTCTGGGAAGAAGGTACTGTACGGGGACTGGAGRTGCCAACAGAGCTTTGAGCTGCTCCACCTCAGCCTTCAGAGAATCTACTTCTRGCRGAGATGGACACTCCAGTCACAGTTTCTTCCTTCTAGGACRGCAGRGCTCTTCCATCGGCGCCTCCCGGAACACAGTAGAGGCATTCCTGAGGACGGCAGTTCGTCAGAAAATAAGAGGCCCTCAACCTGATGCGGACACACCCACCATGCTTCCTACTACAAACAAACAAACAAACAAACAAACAAACAAACAAACAAACAAACAAACAAACGACGCGCCAACCACATGGGTAAAAGCACTCCGACTAAAAGTCACAGGCAGGATGACGCTAAACCACACAAACTGTGCTTACCTCTCAAAACCTGCATAAGCTGATAAGATCCGAAACACGGACTTACGGGAGCGATTAACCTTACGAGAAGATCAAAGAGACTGAACGTAACCACCTGCATGCCATTTATGGACGCACGCTCAGGTGAGCTACGTGTCACGTGCGGGACTTTGTTTACCAAATGTCGACCTGCACAGAGCGCGAGGCGGAGACATTTATCAGGAAGGAATGAAACAGAACCTATGTTGTGACTTGTCGCTATAAACTGAATTGAATTAGTTTAAAACAAAATTACACAAATTATAAATAAATTCTTACAGGTGTGCAAAGGACCTCCTTCATTTTTTTTCATGAGAACGTTATTAATTTCCTAGAGCAATTAGCACTTTTTGTTGTTGTACTGGGCCATGTTTTTACCTAAAGTTTCAAGAATCACTGATCTGTATTTAAACCCTACAAGTTAAAAAAGCTGTGTGGAAACTAATAATAGTCTGTATAACAACAGATGTTGACATGATTGACACTGACTGACATTAGGTTGGAGTTAATATAAATACCAGATAACCAGCAGGCGTTTTTAATCACTGCTTCATCTTGACACTTATTTTTCTGAACCTTGTGATCTAAAACGTGTGGAAAAAAATCAAAGCACATGTAGCATTGATGCTAACACGCAACAGGCTAATGTGTCCGGTAGCTCAAAAGTAACCCGGAAACTGACATGGTTGAAATGTTTATTTATAGTTTTTAAAATCTAAAAGCATCGTTTCATCCTTGAACAGGAGAGGCAGTCTGCCTTCGTCTTGTAGKTGCTTTGACACAACTTTACTCGGCTTACTTCCTAACTGTGGACCGAGGCATGACCCGAGGCCTACAAGTTTTAAAACGAAAACTGTAGAAATATTTTCCACTACAATAACTTCCTGCAGATAACACTATTTTCTACAGGAACTTAAATAAACTAGTAATGATTACTTACCTTTTAAGTGTAAAACAACGATAAAAAGTGCAGCGCCTGGTACCAGCAGCAGTCGATGATCATCAAGAAGCCCAGTATTTATAGGACCATTTCTGGGATCTCTTCATATTTGACCCCCTTCATAAATACTTTTGTCATAAGGCGAGCTGTCAAATGTGCAATAATAACAGTGACATCATAACCGGATGAAAACACAAGGTAAATGTCGGCCACGTGTGGCAATGAATGAAAGCTGTTGTTCAATAACAACGTTGTTATTGTTGCTGCTGCCTTCAAGGACCTGCCCAAAAAACCGGAAACGTCGAAACTGAGACATCTCAACACAAAGGCCGCTGTCCAGCATGTTTTCTTGTTTCCCTGCTCAAACACGCCTTCCCAATTATTCTCCACTATATATCCAAGTGAAATGTATTATTAAAGCTTCAATATTTAGGTAATAATTACACAGAGCTACGTTTACTTTTATTGTATTTATTTGACCAGTAGGATCAGTACTTTTATTAAAGTAATGAAAGGGAGAACTTTATRCACCACAGAGTACAAAATACAACATATTATAACGTGTTATGCCTTCTCATCTGTTTAAGGATGAGGTGTTGTACTTCCTGGTTGTGACCACCAGAGGACATCAACTCAACAGGTTTTCATCAATCTGATCACTGAACCAAGTAAAGGACTTTGTCTTTGCTTTCTAAAAGCATTGGTACTGGTTGGTCAAAGCACCAGAAGTAATGTCTTTGCAACAGCAAAGCAATAATGGCACATCTAAAAATATTTTTTAAAATATAATTTTGATAATTTCTAATGAAAATTATAAAATCATATCTGAGGTCTAAATAATTATAACGAGAAGAAAAAAGAACAAGTGTAAATGCTATTACAAAAAAACATTGTTTGACAAATGTGCAAGCTAGTTCTCTTCCTAAATAAACTACAACTACTATCTAATATAACATAGTGAAGTGCTCAATATCCCACAGATTATATGTGTACACCCAGATTTTCCACGCGTCCTGACAACTCCAACCCACCTTGTTTTCATCATGTATTCTCCACAGTGTCCTCCACTCCTCACCAGGTTGAAAGACAGCTGAGGAAACTTCACTCAGGCAAAGCAGCAGGTCCTGATGGTGTGAGTCCTAGGGTTCTCAAAGCCTGTGGAGTGTGTCATCATGTCTTATTGCTGTGATCCAAACCTGAGGGTGCCATCATACCTGCTGAATAGGGTTTACATACATGTGTAAAATGTGTCTGTGAAGGTTTTTTTCTTTTACCTCCAAAACTGTATTTTAAACAAAAGAGATTAAGTACAAAAATACAAAACAAGGGAGCCAGGTTGGTTGAACAAATACATACTGCACAAAAGTAAATAGGTTATTAAAATAAGTCAAAATAAAATCAGGAGCTCCAAATTGAGAACATCATCCATGTTTTTTGTGCCTTTTGATTATTAAATTAATYAACTGAGTGCATTTAATGCGTGAACTCTATCAGCTGACAAAAGTTTTGTTTTTAATCCTGTCTGTGAATTTGACCAGGATGATTAGCAAATTAATAAGAGAAATCCTTTAAAATCATTTTTGTACTTTGCTAAAAAATCAAATAAAACATGTGTCCAGTTTAACTTTAGGTCAGGAGATATGTTTCAGTTTTATAGTTACAACCTTAATGGAGTGAGGACAGAGCCAGAGCAGATGAGTGAGGGTCTGCAGAGAGATCACAGAAATCTGTCACATTTAAACCTTTGAAAGTTTATTTCGCAGGGTAAATCCTGTGGATGTGTTTTAACGACACCTCTTTTACTTCATTGGCTACAAAAAAAAAGATTAGGCTTACATCAGACAGACACTGCAGGTCACAGAGCAGAGCAACACTGCAGACGTGTAGCTAAAAACACAGAAGAGCCAAAGATCAGGGTCACAGTGCTTCAGACCCAATCATCTCTAAGACTSATACATTATATTAGGACTGATTGATTATCTGCTGTTTTACCAGATGAGGGAATGGATATAACTTATTTAAACTATTGTTTGGTTGAATAATATTCCATCCATCCATTTTCTGTACACGCTTCTTCCTTTCAGGGTCACTGGTGCCCATATCCAGCAGTCACAGTGCGAGGGGTGGGGTACACCCTGGACAGGTGTTGAATAATATTCAGTTTTTAAAATTGAATGAAGGATCTTATCAATCTTATAAGATTCCATGTCATTTATGACTTGTGTTTTGTTTTTAAATAGATTTTCTTTATTGTTTTTGAATGAATGAATAAATGAATAAAGACAATTTATTTAATGTAGCATTAACCAATACAAATATGGCCATTTAAATAACAAATCTACTAATGGATTAAGAGTTAATACAGACATTTCTTAGAGAAAATATTTATTCTTAAATGTATATACATTTTAATTAAAAATGTTTTTACCCTCCACCCACCGGGACGTCCTTTATTTTAATATCTTAAGGTGGCAACCCCACCTGTTTATCAACAGAAAGTGCAGGGATAGGATATGGGTGGTCCTGTGTTGGTTTTTTGTATTTTTTTTTTACCTCAGATAAAATGTTTGGAGCAAACGTCTAGTCCACTTTTTTTTCCAGTCAAATTCAGCTCATCCCATCACTGGAATCCAGCTGTTAGCTAGCATCTTAGCTTAGGAAATGTGATCAAAAACACTCTTTCCATGTGGGGATGATGGCGGTATCCTGAGTCTTTGTTACAACAATCATAGCACAATGTTTTGTGGTTCTCCTGGTGGAGTTTCATGCTGTTCTCCCAAACGTATTAAAGTTTTAACCGAGTTAGATGAGTACAGTACACAACGGTACGAGAGTTTGTATGCATCATCAGGTGAAAATAGTCACGGGGCTCATGTTCTATAAGAAGATCATTCATGGAGTGAAGGTCCTCATTAGAGGAAAGTAAAGCTTCTTAAATCTTAATAAAATGATTTGATGTTAGAATAAACGAGTCTCAGATAAACAACACAAACACTCTAACTGCATGATCTGCTGAGGCTAAACACTTGATCACACACAGTTTGGTTTCTTTTTTTTATTTCAACGAACTTTACTTCATACAAAATGTTCAATGTAGAAACAATTGTAGAATTTGAAGTTTGGTCAGTTAACATAAAATCAGGCAAAACAAGATTTCACAGAATGAAAACACAGGAATGTTGGAGCTCTGCTGCTGGGCTCAGCTATCAATGTTACTGCTTTAAATAGAAAGGAGCCTTTTCAACAAACCTCACACTTTATATCAAATATTAAAAACCAACAAAAGCATGTGGTATTTCAAAGTACTACATTTTGTACATGCACATACATTGTTAAAACATGCAAACCTTGTGATTTTTCTTTCTTTTATGTTTTTTTTTTTTTTTAGAAAAAGCCACATGAACACCTGAAATGTTAGAAATGAAACAGTTTGAACCTAATGTGTGTGCTGGATGAGGCCACACTGTTTAGGAAATGGTTCTGGTTCTTCTCCACACCTCAGTAATGACTGGATCAGTAGAACAGTGGGAAACATTTAGGACAAACAAGAGTTTTTGCAAGATTGTGACCAAACAGAAGACATCAAGTTCCAGCCATGGGATTTCTTTTTGACACCGTTTTGCATGCAAATATATAAAGCTGCTTTTTTTCCCCTAAATAATGTGTTCTGTGTTTATACTTTGTGCATCGATGCATTTCAAGTCACTTTTGTTTGCATGTTTTCTTTTTTTTTCATTTTATACATTTTCAAACATTTGGTCAACATCATGCTGAAGCCTAATCTTGGAGAAATCAGCATTTGAAGCTACAGAACAGATGGAAAATGAGTTTATTCTTGTTGCATAGCCCTACTTGCTTAGCTCTGACTAATTGCTGAGAGGTCAGTCTTTTGGATCCTTCTGCCCCCACATCTTTGAACCCGTGCAGGAAAAGCACAGCAGCAGATCCAAAAATCTCACCAAACCTTTCATCGAGAGAGTTGCATATAATAAAAACCTGTTTGTGTTTCCCATCAGCCAACACTCTGTGTGTGGGACAGTTCTAGGCTCGATGAGACAAACTGCAGAGGTCTGAGTCAGAACTACATATCCTCCTCTCATACATGTGTGTTCTGTGCAGACCTCTTCATCTTACACTGAAGAGACATTCCTGCAGTCTGTCGTCTCCTCCATCAGGTCTGAAAATCAGTTCCATCATATTCATCCAGGTGGTGTGTGTTTGTGTTATTAGCTGCGCRCCATGACCAGCATCYGTTTCTATACAAAACATGGACAAAAATACCTYAATTGTTAGCCTCATAGCATATATYCCTAAGTCAYRTSTGACCAAATATGTCTTGGGCAATTATACTATGAGYCTAACGATATGTATATTTGAGGTTACTWAAATAGTGTCATTAATACAACAAATCTACCACAATTAAAATAACAATTACATAAAGAGACTTAATGACTAAAMTTTTGATCAAAGGTTGTTTTAGGTCAGAATATTCACCAACGGGATTCTACAGAATTACAAAACAAAAACATAAAGAACACCAGGTACTCCTGGTTTTACTGGTGTTAAAATGGTTTTAATGAAGTTTGTTTTTCAGAAAAACAAGCTAATGTTATTTGCAGTGGTGGGCACAGTTCCCCTAAAGTACTAAAGCACTACAGTTTTTATTGATTGCTTTGACCTGTTTGAAGYAACTGGGAACCTCTCAGTCTTCATCATCACCATCTCAGCAGAGCAGAAGACACCTCTTGCAAATGTGTTAAACCCATTCTCATTGGACTGACACAGTTGTCCCACCCTTTTGCAAAACAGTTAACGCAGATATCATTGAAGAAGTCCAAACTCTGTTTTAGCTGTGGTCACAGAAAAGAAACCATATGCTCCAAGTTTTTAGAAACTCCCTGATCAGTATGAAATCACCGACAGCACCTGTTTGACACTTCTTCACAGAATCTTTCATTTTGGAATCAGTCTGCAGGCCTGTGTTGTTCTCTTATACTCTTATAGTAGAGGCCTACTATAGATTTTTGTTCTTTACTGTAAAAGACTGTGTTTTTTATTTACATAATTTCTCACACAGTAAAGGGTTTTATTTTTATTTCCATGTATTCTCTGTTGGAATATTTCATTTGTCAGGCACAGTCTGAAAAAAATGTAATCAATAAAATTTGCATCAAAGCACATCCGCTTCTGAATGCATTTTTTGCAAGAGTGCAAATTTGACTACAAACATCAGTTACAGTACAGTCATAGGCCACAATGGCAAGCAATGGTGC